CTGACAGTACTTTTTTGGTAATTAGGATTTTCACAGGAAAATGCGTTAGAGTCAGCAGGACTGGGTCAGGTTTTGTCGTGTCTTCATTACCAGAAAACATGGTTTTCTTTTGCGATGAAGCACGGTACTTTGCTTAAAGAATGTGTTCTGGCACCGTCCAATACCTTTATTGTTGAGCTGGAGGATCTTGTTTCAGACCTCAGTTATGTTTGGTACATAACAGACACGCACACAAAAAAGCAACCCTTTGCTTCCCAAAATGTGAGAGGTTTTCTTTCTGTCCAGTTCCTCTAAGTTTTACACAGCTGTAGGCTGCTAATGTGGATACAGATACATCAGTTTTAAAGATAAACTGGGTGTATCGCATACGACTTGTGGTATGTGAAGCTGACTTTGTTTCTGACCCTGTTGAACCCAGGACTATATAAAGGAAAGAAGATGTTTTCATGCCAGTTTCTGTGGCATAAGTTGTACTTCTATTTTCAACATTATGCTGTTGTCCGTAGGGATAAAGCTGGCCAAGTCCTGTTACTGAGAATGCAGAAGTGATAATGTTTTGATACAAACTGGCAAACTTGGGACTTAGAGAATATTGATGCCTAGGAGTTCGCTTAAAGACTTAGCCTTTAATTAGGCCCCTGCAAAATCTAAGTTTTCAAGGTATCGGATCACCTTTATTCTTTGTAACTTAATTTTAACGGGGTAGGACTAGTGCAGCCAGGTAAAATAGTTCGGAAGGTCACCTGCCTGTGGACAGTTGATTTTTAAAATGATCCTGAGAGATGCTGCAAGAGTGCACCAGGAGGAGAGTGTGTAGAAATCAATATTTGTATGTGGTTTACTTTTGGGAGCCTAACTGAAAGCCAGCAGGTTCCCTGGCCCTGGTCCAAGGAAGGAAGGAAATGTGCTGTTTAGGGGGTTGAGTGACCTGGGGATCTTCCACACAGTGACATGTGGTGTTCTTGCTGCAATCCAAGCAAGGCATCTGTTGGCTTATTAGCAGTGTGTGAACTGCACTGACTGTGGTCCAAATGCCATTAATCTGTGGCCTCCACGTGGAAGAAGAGGAGCCTTCTGTCTCATTGCTGAGTCCAGGGGGAACCTCGGGGGAAGGTGTCCTTCCCTTTGGCTGTTCCTCTGTACTTAGGTGTCCTTGTTTTGTTTTGTTAAGAATGTACCAACTCTTGCACCATAGCTAGTTGCTGTCTTCCTTTTCCTGTTCTCGATTGTTCTCCCCCCTTTTTTAAATTTTCTTTTTTTTCTGTAGACTAGTGCAGTGCACGCACTTCAAGTGACCAGTGACTTTTGAAGGGGACATCTTGGTGTACTTGATACTGCGGAATTTATTATGGAAACACTATACATAAATAATTTTGAAATTGCCATCAGTTGTGGCTTTGTTCTAGCTGCTTAGGTAGCAAGTTTAATCACCTGGAAAATGGGCAGCATAGAGATACTTTCCATTCACTACTACCCCGCTTACCTTATTTGCTGCCTGGAGCTTTCTAATCTGAGGGTACGCCCTGCTGCTGGGTAAATGCCAGCAGTCTCTGCTAGACGTGGAAAGGGCTCCCTTCGCTCTGTGCTGGTGCTCCAGGATGTTTCCACTTCCCATTTTACTAATAGTGGCTTATTTCTGACCTGCCTGTAGACTGAGCAGCTATTTACAACGATCTATGAAAAACACCGTTGTCTTGGTAAGATGCTGAAGGTTACAGGTTTAACCTTAACTGTGATGAGTTTATAATGTCTGTCCTTCAGACTTCTGTTAAATCGAACAGATGCCCTCTGCTACCTAAAATCAGGTAGTCCTGCCCTAAATACTTCCCGGGAGCACTGTCCAGGTGTCTGAATAGGAATACGTGGGAGCACTAGATGCTGTTTCAAATTCTGCTTCCTAAGAAAAGTTCCCTGCTTTTCTTTCTTCTTTTTAGTGTTCCCATCTGGGGACAGTGGTGGTGACAGACATCCCTTTAGTAACTTCAGTCCTCTGACAAAAAGTGCTCGGTGTCATTAGCTCAGTGTCAGGAAAGGTGGAGGCTTCACTCATTAGAGATCACAGAGCCTAGAGAGAGAGAAGAGCCTGGAAAGTGGACACAAACATGGGGCCCTCCATTTCTGTTCCACAATGGTTTCAGCTTGAAAAAAAAAGGGGGGGGGGGGGGG